GGCTCAGGTCATGATCCCAGGGTCCTGGGATCGAGCCCCACATTGGGCTCCCTGCTCCTCGGGACGCCTGCTTCTCCCCCTCCCTCTGCCACTCCCCTTGCTTGTGTTCCCTCTCTCGCTGTGTCTCTCTCTGTCAAATAAATAAATAAAATCTTTAAAAAAAAAAAAGTTTGACATCCTGAAGGAAAAGCTCAAATCCTAACTTTAAATATAAATGAATTACTAGTTATAACTAGTACAGCTCACTATTAAAGAGTAAAAGGTAAACTCTCTGAAAGGAAGAATTCAAATTTTTCTTCACTGTCCTATCATCGGAGCCTAAAACAGTGCCAACAAGCATAAGACATTTGTTTAATGTTTCAATAAATGTCTGCTTAATGGTTTTCAATAGTTTATGTAAATGAATGTTCAGATGCCCCATACTGGGATTCAAAGAAACATACACTCTTTTTAATTTTCTTCTTTCCTTCTGCAACAACCATCCAGTGTAGCATTCTAGAATGGGAGAGGTCAGTTTTGTCATCACCATATGTCCAACTGATATATAACAGACTGTTGAAATACTCCACAGATGTGATTTCCGGAGCAACTGGGGCTAAAGGAAAGAAAGAGGTGCACTTTAGTTTAAGAGACTAACAATAATTAAAGTACTTCTCAACAGAGCATGAAATCTCATGTGGAGTTAATTTAGAGAATTAAAGTTCACACCATATGATGGTCCTGGGGATCCCTGGACCTCTCAGTAGTATGTGAAGGTTGGTGGTAAAAGGTGGACACTTGTTTCCTGGGGCCCCACCTTGTATGGCTCAGACACAAGGCAGCCAGACCCATCTGTACCTGAGGATATCGGGTCTTTATACAAATTTCACGGTTAAAGATTCCTGAAATGTTCACTTCTTTGAGTACACTTGTTGTATCAGTAAATTAATAGTATAAGGCATGGCTGAACTTATTTTCCAAGCAGTACTGGAAAATTTGGGGTCCTATAAGAGTAAATTTTTACTTGTGGTGCAGCAAAGATGTTTATGGAAATAAAGGACAATAGGGTCAACAATTAGAGGGACAGAAAATAATTATTGTTTCTATAAAATAATAAGGCAATATCATTGATCGTGTCTAACCAAAGCTTTGCAAAAAGTGGGCTCTAACTAAATGTTGCTGAAGCAAGTAACAAGGGAAGGCAGGAAGGGCTCTTTGCTAAATTCTAACACTGAGTTTATTAATTTTTTAATTTTCTCACACATTTAAATTTAAATTATTTCTAGTGGGGAGGAGAGTTCTTTACAAGATTTGTAATTTATGAGCTCTGAAAGTGTATTTTAATTATTTTTTAAACTAACTGATAATTCTGAAGATTTTTAGGAAACACATTCACAGTTGAATTTAAAGTCCATGTGTATGTTGGTTTGAAGACAAACAGGTGTTCCATTCTGAAAGACAGCACAAAACCAGCTGAAATATTTGGAGGAGAATTTCCATAAACCATGAAGATTCATTTTCCTCAAGATGCTACAAGTACTCATAACAAGCACTCATAACTATGCTTTCAAGAACAATTATTCACTGAAGAGATTTGTAATATATAGAGTAAAAAACATTTCTGTTTCAGGGCGCCTGGGTGGCTCAGTTGGTTAAGTGTCTGTCTTGGGCTCAGGTTATGATCCCGGGGTCCTGGGATCCAGCTCCGCGTTGGGCTCCCTGCTCAGTGGGGAGCCTGCTTCTCCCTCTCCCTCTGCTCCTCCTTCCCACTCGTGCTCTCTTTCTCTCTCTCTCTCAAGTAAATAAATAAA